GGGAAAGAGATAGGAATCTGCCTTTAAATGCAGATAATGGAAGTAATCTTTGCAATGAAATGGGTAGCTAACTTCTGTGTAACTACTGTGATGCAAAATTCCTCCAGAAATAAAAGATGTGGCAAGTGTATGAAGTCCATAAAACTGCTGCTTTTCTTCTTCAGTTCTTCCTACATGACTTATATATTTGTATTTAGTTTTGATTCAGCAAAAGGCTTGCACAAGTCTAGTCCAAGAGTTGAAATCAGCTTTTAATTTGGTTGCCCTGTTGGCTTGATGAAAGGTCTGTTGCAACCAGTGCAAAGACTTCCACTGTCTTTTTTTGCCATAAGATCAAGCCATGTCTCTAAATGCTGTATATGTTACTAATACAGAACTCTGTTGAGAGCAGTTAGTCTTTCTTGACTTAATTATCACTTTATAAGGGAATTCAGGAATAGTTTGTCTGCATGCACTTGAACTGATAATGTCTTTTAGGGCCAATAAGTTTATTTAATTATGTTTTCTGTTATTATTTCATTTTATGTGTTATGATGTCTTATTTTTGCCTAGTAAGCCAGATGATCTAGTAGTATGCTAGTTTATTTCTATTCAGCAGAGAGTTTAAGGTATTTAATATAAACAGCTTTTCTACTATTTGTATTTTATAGCTGTGTTTTTTGTTATTGTTACAATGCTGTCTTAAGCTAGAAGAAGTACCTTAGTTCCTTTAAATCATGACAAGGCTTCTGTCTCTGCATTACGGTAGGTAAACTTGCAGTGATTTATTTCCTATTCTTTCATAAACCTATTTCTAGAAATGTTTGAGTATAAGCATTTGATGCATTCAGAAGACAGTTGATCAGTTGTTTATCTGCTTAGCTATAGATGTTCCATAGGAAAAGTTTTTTCCCCTCAAAATTTTCAATGCTTATAAGAAAAGGTTGTGTTTCTCTTTTGGGAGAGAATAAATGCAGTTCTGAGAAATAAGCAAGAAAATACAAAACAAGTAATACATGTAACCAGTTGCACCGTTTTTGTTCTCTCTTTAGGAATACAGAACACTTTATATTCAGGAATACAAGGAAAACAGCAAAGTGGAGTCAAGTACATGCAGCAGCTTCATGGGCTTGAAGGATCATCTGGGGCATGATTTAGGCCACCTTTATGTGGGGAGCACTGGCACACAAATAAATGCAATTGTACCTTGGTCAATGGCGGAGAAGCCAACGATGGATAAGGTTAATTCTAGGAAAGAAGATGCAGACAAGGAGGCATCAGAAGAGACTTCTGGAAGCTCCAGCTGTGACTCTGAAGAAAGCACAAATTCTGATAATGATTCGGAGAGACTGAATAATTCTGCATCAGAATCGCATTTATTGCCTAAGACTCACCGACAGCTGTGCCGATCTCCTTGCTTAGAGCCTCATATTCTAAAAAGGAATGAAATCTTGCAAGACTTTAGGATAGAAGAGGCTCAGATAGTACCTAAGGAAGTCAAAAAGCCCCCTGATGTGGTGAAAGAATATCAAACCAAACTGGAGTTTGCACTTAAGTTGGGTTACTCTGAAGAGCAGGTTCAACTTGTACTAAATAAACTTGGTACTGATGCTTTAATAAATGATATTTTGGGAGAACTTGTCAAACTTGGGAATAAAACTGAGACTGAGCAGACTGTAACTAATGCTAACACTAGTGTAATGCGTGAAGCATCCTCCATAGAGTCTCAGAGGTCAGAGTCTCCACTGCAAGAGGAAGTGACAGAGGATGGTGACAACTTGAGGCCAATAGTTATTGATGGCAGCAATGTTGCAATGAGGTATGTGACAATGAAGCTTTTCCTTTTGTATTTAAACAAAAACTGAATGACCTTGTCCTGTTGAATCACTGATGTTTGGTGTAATTGCCTGAAACTGTATGCAGGTTCTTGCTCAAGCATCTTTGTTGACCACACAGTATGTATGCCAATCAATCTAGACTGGAGGTCTGCAAAAGTTCTGTGGTTTGTACTCACTCATAAAACAACCATAGGTTAATGCCAGCCTCCCTGTGTAGGCAGCTATCAAATCTCTCCTTCTGACTGCCAGTCTAGTTCTTAATTTTTGATAGGCACCATTGCTATGGGAAATTGCTGTATCCAGTTCCATACAGAGGTTAAGTTGTTTAAGGGATACTTCTTGGTAGGCTAGTCTGTGATAATTGGTCTGTCTGTACAATTGGTCTGGTTTGTCACATTTGCAGTGTGGATTTATTGCAAATAATTCCTGAGATTACTGTGCTTTAGATTTCCACTTATATTCCCACAGATAACACACTTACCTACAGCATTCACCAGACATGACCCTGCCCCTCTAGGTCTGTGGGGAGGTGAGAGGTTCATGCCTCATTGGTGATTAGAGGAAGAAGGAAAGGACAGAGAGAGACATGCAGAGACATGGGGGTTTTATGGCTATATAAATGATTAAATCACAAATTGATTGGTAACTAACAGGGTAGCTCATAAGGGTTATCTGATTACTAGCACCATGTTTTAGAAGGTCAATTTTAGTCTTCTGATGAATTGGTGTGGTTTTCATTAGCTTAGTAGTATAAGTTCATGTAAGAAGTCTCTGGGCTAAAGGCCCAGCATGTTTTAGCTCCTAATCAAGTTAATTACCTTTAAATGAGGCTTTTAAAAATGAAGCTTAAATACAGCTCTAATTTATGGCAGTAGGTTTTCTTTATTTAAGTAGATGTATTAGCCCATAAAGCAAGGATATTAATTCTTTGTAAATGGGGTATTCCTGTGAGTTCTTTCTACCTGATGTGTCACTCCTAATCTTTTAGTTCAACTTCAGATTTAAAGGAAGTATGTCCAGTTGAACAAACACTGTTCTGGTACTCAACTGTGAAGTTATCCAGAGACTTCTAGAATGGCTTTGGATTGTGTTTCACATAAATCCAAAACAGTTGTGTAAGTGTTAGCTAGTTAGCACAGCTCAGACTTGGTGGGTGGATGTAGATTCAGCTTCTCCCACAAACTGCACTGAACACATTCCAGAAGTAGCTCCAGGTCAGTTGCTTTCCCTTAATGTTTATCATCTGTTAGCATAAATATATAGGACCTGCCTTCCTATGGTCAATTTACTTTCTTGACCACCTACATAAATGAGCCCAAGTATGGGTGCATGCTATGCATGCTACAGGGCCTTAAAACAGATTAAATCTACTAATAGAGCAGTCTCTATCCAAGAATTGGAGCAACAGAGCTTTATTTTTTTTCTACCAAATTCAATCACATAATCACTCATTTTGGAAGGGACCTCTGGAGATCTTCTAGTCCAGTCCTCTCCACAGAGCAGTGTCAATTCAAGGCTGTATCAGGTTGGGTTTTGAATGGCTCCAAGGATGGAGACTTGACATATTCTCTGGGCCAGTGTTTGAATGCCCTGACTGTAAGATAAAGTTTTCTTTTTTTATGTTTAAATAACATTTCTTGTATTCCAGCCAGGTCATGCCTATTGTCTCTTGTCCTGTCACTGGACACCAGTGAGAAGGCAGTTTCTATCTGCTTTATTCTCTCCCACCAGGTATTTATAGACATGGGTAAGATCCCCCTGAGCCCTCTCCAGCCCAAACCGTTCTATGATTCTCTAGTACCAGTTCTCTCAGCCTCTCCTCATATGACAGCTGCTTCAGTCCCTTGATTAACTTTGTTGTCCTTCACTGGACTCTGTTCAATATTTTCCATGTCTGTTTTACATTGAGGAGCCTAGAACTAAACTTAGCACTCCAGATGTGTCTCACCAAGGCTGGAACAGGCTCCCTCATGAACAGCACCTCCCTTGACCTGCTGCCAGCACTTTTCCTAATGCAGTCCTGGAGGCTGTTGGCCTTCTGTGCTGCAAATGCATATGCTGTCTTGTGGTCAGTTTGGTGTTCACCAGAACCCCAAGGTGTTCTCTTCAGAGTTGCTTTTCAGTTGTTTTTTCCCCAGCCTGTATTGATGCCTGGTGTGAGTCCCCAGCTGCAGGACTTCTATTTCCCTCTGCTAGGTACCTGTTGGCCCATTTCTCAACCCTCCCAGGGTCCCTCTGAATAGCACTGCACCCATCTGGTGTACTCCTCCCAGTTACACATCCTCATCAAACCTGGTGAGGGTGCACTCTGCCCATTTTCCAGGTCATTAGATCTATCTAGGTCTAGATGATTACAGAAGATGCTAAGCAATGCTTGTGTCTGTATCAGTCCCCAGGGTTCTAGTCCTAGGGAACACCCCCAATAACCTTTCAAAGATTACCAAAAGTGGCCTCACAATGTCCTTAGCCAGCTCCTTCAACACCCTTGAGGGCCCAGCAGCATGGGAATACCCTGTTTCAGTGTTCCCCAACCTCTGCTGAGGGCAAGTCTTGTTCTGTTGCCTTTGCCCAACTTCCTGCAAATCAGGTGGACCAATTTTGAGCTTGGCAGAGGTGATGACTGAAAATCAGCCAGGTTTTCTGGGCCCCTCTCATCTCCAGGGTTATGCTGCATGGAATTCTCCTGAACAGGCCAAATTCTGCTTTCCTGAAGTCTGGGTTTGTAACTCTGCTTTTTGCTCTTTCTTCATGGGATCCTGAATTCCACTACTCACAGTCACTTCAGCCAAGGCTGCCCCTGACCTTCACATCTCTGACTAATTCTTCCTTATTTAGGAGGTCCAGCAGGTTCCCTCATTGAGTCCTCAGTCACCCATGTTAAGAAGCTATCATCAGTGCACTCCAGAAACTTCCTGGATTGTTCATGCCTTGCTGTGTTGGCCAGTCTACTGACAAAGATGCTTCTGCTCTGGTTTTGCTCAGCCAGTAGTGAAGATGCTTTTGTTCTGCTTGATCAGGTAGATCCCACCTTTTCCTTGAAATCAGATCTTGATTATGAAAGATGGTCCCATGTTTGTAAAAAATGAATCCCTGTTGCTGACACCAGTCATGCAAACAGTTGCTTTCCATCAGGATCTCTCCTTTCCCCTTCAAGAAAATAGGCTGTAGTAAATAAGCATTTTAAAAAGAAAGATTTCTATTTTAACAAGTGAAAGAGCAATGTCCAAAGCAGTGGAGGAGATGCAGGAATTCACCAGTTGAGACTGTCATGTTCAAATTTATGTATATAAATGTCCAGGATCCTGTTACAAGTAATTAACCCATGAACTGGCACAATCTGTTCTTTTCATTCCTTTTACCTTTTCCAAACTGTGGCTAATGAGCTCTCTTTGGAGTTACTAACAGGAAATGGACCTGTGCCCTAGGCAAGACTGTAGGTAATGTTTTGACAGATATTCTTGAGAGCTCTCTCATACGTTCTCACAGAAGAGGGTAGACTGATTCTTACCCCCCTGTTGTCGTACATGTACTTGATGATACTGTTTACTATTAGAATTATTCTAGATAAATACTGCTAATTTTCATTTAAGGGATATATTTGATGAGGTGGGCAGGGGAGAAGTTTTGTGGAGAAGGTTGAGGTGAGCAATGTCCAATAATAGAAGTAGGATGAGCCATTCTGTGATCCCAGCAGGATCAATCACTATATGCTGCCCTGTGTTTCCATTGCATGACTAATTAAGAATGCAGTTTCACAAAACAGCTAATGAGTGACACAGAGTGACTTACTTTCATCCTTGCCTCAATCTCACTTTCCTACCTGCATCTCATCTAGTGACTGTGTGGCTGCAAAATTAGTTGATTAAGCTTCCTAATTCAAATTCAATTTGCCCATTAGACCTGTAAATTAAATGTTTTTATGGTTGAGAGAGCAGCTAGGTCTGACACAAGGGAGGAAGGATCCATCTGATTATGTGACTGGATGTTCATATTTGTGCAACTGGTTGCATCCAGTCAAGTGGTGGTGGGTGCATTGTGCTCCTTGAGGCCAGTGTAGATCAAGGCTTGGGCCAGAATAATTTACTCTGGCCAGCCAGGGCCAGCATATATGCTGGTCTAGTCTGGTGACTACTCCTGTTTCAGATAAGCTCCTTTAGCAAGCTGTAGTTTAAAAAAATAATAATAATAAAACAAACAAAAAACCCAACACCTCTCATTTATTTTTTGTCTTTTGGTAGTGCTTGGAAAGCTTTTCTTATCCTTTAAGATGGTATTGCTTGTCATTCGTGCCTTAAACTGAAAATGGTTGGTCAGAAGCACCTTGTGTATTTCAGGTTTAAGGCTCCAGTATTGGCTAAAGAATATGAACTGGTTAGAGTTTTCAAAACAAAGCTAACTCACTCTTTCACCTGAATAGCAGAAAGGTGGCTTTTGCAGTCTATGGCTTGAAGAATTGCCTATTAGTTTCCATGGGATGCTTCAAATCTTGTCATAGTCTTTCATTTTCTAGCTTTCATGGTGTTGACTTAATCCTTTTCCAGAAGAGGAAAGATGACTACACATTAAAGCCTAATACACACAATCTTTTGTTAGAATGTTGTATGGATGGTCTCATTTTTTTGTGTGTGTGAACTTAAAATGAGAGCTGAACCACAAATTAGATAATCCCCTAGAGCAGCAGTGGAGCTCTTGGTAGACACTTCCCACAGTTGAGAGTGAAGCTGGACTAAGGGACAGGACCCAGGATTCAGTTATAAGCAGTGACCTGTGTTGGATTTCCAGAGAGCTGTGTAAGTCTAACTCTGCTTCATAAACTGGGGGTTTTTTTGCATGTAGATGATGATGATGTAAGGCAAAATCTACTTTTAGAACCTTAGTCTACATGAGCATGAGAGGCATTAGTCCATTGACATAAAAATGAACTCAGGATGTTACTTAGTGTAAACTGCAAAGGATAGATACAAGACAGGTAACACAATTC